AAAAAATAATAAGAATAATAAAATAAATAAAATAAAATAAAATAATTTTAAAAAACTATCCTGTGCAAAAGCCAGACTGAACAGATGAATTTTAGTCTACATTTAAAAGTGTCACGATTATGGACATCTCTCAGACCTTCCAGCTGGCAGTTCCACAGTCTCGGTGCAGAGCTACTAAAAACAGAATTACCAAAAGTTCTTGTTCTATTCTGTGAAGCAGCTAAAAGAGAGGAACCGGAGGATCTGAGGAGACGTCCTGGGTCGTAAACAAGAATCGTCTCTCTGGTAGAGTCTGGTGCTGGGCTGTGAAGGGCCTTGAAAACCAATAAAATAATGTTAGCATCAATTCTAAAATGAACAGGCAGTCAGTGCAAGGACTTTAGAGCAGGACTAATGTGAGCTCTCCCTCCAGTCTTTGTCAGCACTTTTGCTGCTGAATTCTGAATTTATTAGAGCTGATTTATTGTACTCCTTGGAAGACCACAAAGGAGAGCATTACAGCAGTTCAGCCCACTTGTTATAAAAACATGTATAAGTCTCTCAGTGTTGCCTAAAGAGAGAAATGACCCCACCCTGTCTGTCTGAGCCTTTGAACCAACGATGAGCACCTCATTCTTGTCCTGGTTAAGCTGCAGAAAGTTCTGCAGCATCCAAATACAATTAAGAAGTGTGTCAATAGATCCACTGTTATCAGGAGATATGGCAACATAAGGCTGAGTGTCATGAGCACAACTGAAGAGTTTGCATGTCTTCAGATGACACTACCCAGAGGCAATAATTACAAATTAATAAGAAGGGGTCCTAAAATCTATCCTTGTGGTACACCACAAGTAATGTTGAAGTTGCTGGTTGAGTGATTTTAAAGTTTAACAAAAAACTTTCAAAGAAGTTCAAAGTATCCTTATCCACAGTGAAACGAGCCGTGGACAAACATGAACTGAAAGCACACTGACAGGAAGAAGTCATTACTCCTAATGTGACATAAAAAAGACTTATTACAGTTTGAAGATGAACCGAGAGACAAAACACCTGAATGTTTGGAGACACGTCTGATTAAACTAAAACTGAACTGTTTGTCCATTGTTACATTTGGAGGAAAGGGGGAGAAACTTCAAGCCTGAGAACACCATTCCAACTGTGAAGTCCGGTGGCAGCAGCCTCCTGTCGGGTGTTTTGCTGCAGGAGAAACTGGAAACCTTCACAAAGTAGATAGAATCATGGGAAAAGAACAATATGTCGAAATATTGAAGTAACATCTTGAAACATCAATCAGGAAGTTAAAACAGGCATAAATTGGTTTTCAAATGGACAGTGACCCAAAACTTACTTCACATTAATTACAAAGTGTCTGAAGGACAACAAACTATTAACCTAAATATGTCTTTCTCTTCCCCCCCTCCCCCCCACCCCCCATCTCCATATTTTAATGACATCTTTATAGCACTGAAGTCTGGCCTTCAACCCAGGCCAAAGTTATCTCATTCTGGGTTGATGTCCAGACTCCACTGATGTAAATATATTATTAAAACCCTCAATTAGGCAGACTCAGGCCTTTGGGGAGTTTTAAAGACAGGTAGGACCATGTTCAAATGTGTGTTCACCTGGGAAAGATTTTAGTTGAAAATAAACTTGTTTTTTCAAAATGTTTGAACAAAATGGAGTCTGAAGTCAGGCCTAAACTACCATCAAGGGGTCAGGGCAGATTTTTTTTCCAGCAAGGGTTGCATGTTTAAAACGTTAAACTGCTAATCACAATAAAGAGAATTGAGAGGACCTAGTAAATGAAAGACTGCCTTTTTTCCCCTCGCTCTCGTGCAAGGTGGACGCTTTTTCCTCCTCCTCCTCCTCCTCCTGCTTTTTTTTTTGCAATCTGTCTGTGTATAGGAGCACCCATTTTACATATCTTCTGAAACTAAAACTACTGTCATGGATCTGGTCAGCTGGACTTTCAATGCAATCAAAAAAATATTTTCAGCAAAGCGACAGGGTCCTGGAAAGCCCTCATGCCCCGTTGAGACACATGCGGCAGGATACGTCATGGATTAGGAGCTGAAGTGTCTTTCCATTTTTGTCTCAGGAGGACGCAGAAGATGTTTATATATTTGGAACCATGATAGCAGGGTTTCTGCTCTTTGACATCGGTGGATTCCTATGTTATTGACTATTAAAGAGGATGGCGGCAGCAGTATTGGCCATGGCAAAACTGCAGAGTCTACAAAGGTTTGGTTCATGCTCAGAGTACTCAAAATCAGCTGATTTACGAGCTAAACCATAAGCTGGAAGCAATTTGTTAGACTCGCAGGCCACCTGTGGCTTCTGGGACTTGCCAGCAGGTTTGGGATGAAGTTGGAGTGGGCTCATAAGCATGGAAAAGTGGAATGCCCACAAATCTGGCCCTTTTGGGATCAAAAGTACCAGCAAGACTCAAGCCTGACACGAAAAAAAAACAGTCTGCATGAAAAGAAAAATCAACAATTGTGGCTTATCTGAATCTGACTCCCCCAGTTGGCCTCGAAGCAGGCTGACTTGTCAAACTTCTCCTGGGATATGTGTATACTAAGGAAAAGCTATGTCTATCGTAAAACCCCCCCCCTTCCCCCACACATACAAGGACTTCTGTGAAGACTTATCAGAGCTGTACCGGCTGACACCAACATCTTATCAGGACTATGGCCTATGTGGAAGTGCTTCATGGACAAATCTCACCGTCTTGCTGTCAAATGTATAAGTAATGTGTTTATAAATGTGCTTGCCGGTAGAGTTATTTTATGTCTTAAATCGTGTCCTGATAAGGACAAGATGTGAAGAGATCTTTTTTTTGTAATGCCACTATCCTATCCTCATGGCCTTTTTTCCCTTTTCTATCTAAAAAGTATTCTGAAAAAGGATAAGGAGCCACGCTCTCCAGGAGCAACAGCAACGTGCACTCGTGCACAACATGCACAACGTGCACTGCAATGTGTATATTTTACAAAAAGATCTGAAGCTCTCGACCTTGACCTCTCTAAGTGGCTTTAAGAATCTGTTGGACTCCTGGCAGGGACCAATGCAGGTATGTTCCTGTTTTTAGTTTTCTACATTAGCCTTAGAATCTAGCTGTTTTTTGTTACTTTTCTTTTCTTTTTACTTTTCTTTTTTTAGCCATCTTATTTGTTAAATAAATAAATAAATAAACAAAAATTGTATGACTTTTTATAACTGTTTATTGTTGTCGCTGTTGTCCATTGTTGTCATCATTCTTTGTTGAAATCAGGTCTCTCTTAT